TACTGGTTGGCTCTCCATTCGTCCACCTGGCAGGTGTACATCAACTGCGCGCCGCTCGAGAGTACAACCTCGACAGGTGCGACGTCCAAGTACGCTGTCGCGGGCTCAAGCTCGGAAACCACCACTGCCACCAACTCGACGTCGACCACATCTACCGCTTCGTCGGCGGCAGAGTCTTCGACTGCCTCGAGCTCCTACAACTTTAACACGAACTTGGCAACGTCCACTTCGGCTTCTACTAGCGACGAAACCTCATCGGCTACGACTACTGCACCTACGACTACGGATACACCGGTTACCACGACTACGGATACACCGGTTACCACGACTACTGCGCCTACAGCGACTACGGATGCACCGGCTTCTACTGCTACTCCGACAGCCACCACCGCCACCAGCAAGTGCTCGGTGCGTCGCCGCCGTGATTAAAGCGACGGAATATGCGTCATGCCTGGAATGTAGTCGCAGCGTGAAGTAGATGGATGTAATGAATGTTGTGGTGAAACCAGTAGTTAACGCGTTTTACCAATCGTCTCAGTTCGTTAGGCAGTCTAATTAACCGGTCGTTCTGCCAAGCGATGCATGAACTCTCTTCAAGTGCCACTGCACGTGCATTTCGCTAGTCACGCATCGATACAAACTCGCCAGCTGTCTTCGCGGCACAGCGTCACGTAGTTGCGCCGTCAGGATTTGCTACGTAGTCACGAGTCTCCTCTACATGTGCGTCGTGATAGAAGTCAACCAGAACTTCTTACACATGAGAATCACTTCACCACTACGGGTCTCCAGCAGCTAAAAGCTCCTCGCTGCACTCCGATCACATCTTAATTTGCTCAGTCGCAGCCACTACTTCCTTCGCTCGCCGTCGAAAATGGTTGCGTCGACCACGTGTTTCTCTGTCATGCTGGCCACGGCCATGCTCGCTGCGAACGTCTACGCCCACGGATACATGTCGGATCCGGCGGTGACTTTCCTCACCACGAACGATCCGACGCAGTTCATTGCCACAATCGAATCGTCCGCCTCGGGGCTCACCGGAACCTTCAACGGTGCTCCGGCCGACAACACGGCCGCGTTCACGAAGGCGTTCGAGTCCAGCAGCTTCTCGTCACTCAAGGAGCTCATCAATGAAAAGGCCACGCTGACGGTCTCCGATGCTACGCTCACTTGTGGCTCGTGCGATCCCGATGAGACGGCCCAGCCTTTGCCGGACACGTACGTGGAATGGGCGCACTCCGACTCAGAGGGTTTTACCGCTTCCCATGAAGGCCCGTGCGAGATCTGGTGCGATGATGTGCGTGTTTTCCAGGGTGACGACTGCGCAGCCGACTACACCACCGCTCCGGCTAAGCTGCCGTACGACCACGACGCGTGTCTTGGTAGCAGCGTACTCACCTTCTACTGGCTTGCGCTGCACTCGTCAACCTGGCAGGTGTATGTGAACTGCGCGCCGCTCGAGAGCACCACGTCGACGGGCGCGACCTCCAAATACGCCGTGTCAGGTGCTAGCACCGGCACCAGCACCAGCACGACCACGTCGTCCGTGTCATCGACTGCCGGTTCTGCAGCCGCCTCGAACTCCAGCTCGCTGGAATTCCAGACCAACTACGCGACGTCCAGCTCTGCGTTCACCTCGACCGAAACGTCCACTACGACGACTACTACTGCGCCGACTGCGTCTACGACGCCGACCGCCACAACGAGTGCTCCCACCACCGATACGACCAAATGCACCGTTCGACGTCGCCGCAACTAAGCAGCGTTTGGCGGTCTAGTAAGCGTTTCGTGTGCGTTGTTAGCAACCGGCGGATACCACCGCCAACCTGTAGCGTTTAGACTTTTGGTGTAAGCCTGAGAGGCAGATGCAAATACAGAAAGCGTTTGTCGTACGTTTAACCTTGGATACAGATACGACTAAATAAGCAGTCAGAGTATCACTTTACACCCATTTATTAACTCGTTCCGACGATCTCGGCACAAACTCTTATCACGAAACCTGGTGTTGTACATGACTTCAAACTCTATGAATGGTTGAAGACTACACAAAGACGCTATACACACATGGACGCCAAGAATCTATCGTTGTCTCTAGTTACGACGGCGGCGGCGGACACTGCACTTGCTCGTGTCGCTGGTCTGGCTGGCGCCGGTGTCGGCTGCCGGGGTGACCACCGGAGACTCCGTGGCGGGGGCCTCAGTAGGTGCAGGGGCGTCTGTAGCGGGAGATGAAGGCGTAGATGGAGCATCGGTAGCAGGCGACGAAGGCGTAGAAGGAGCCTCAGTGGAAGTGGGAGCGTCCGTAGTCTGTGCCGTGGGGGCATCGGTAGTCTGCTCGGTTGAAGAGGAAGAATCGGTGGTCTGTTCGCTCGACGACGAGTCCGTGGCAGGCGTGGTCGAGTTTCCGGCACCGCCGCTGCTACCACCGACTGCAAACTTGGACTTGGCACCCGTAGACGTGGTCTTCTCAAGAGCAGCGCAGTTGATGTACACCTGCCACGAAGGCGAGTGCAACGCGATCCAGTAGATGGACAGACGCGAGGAACCGAGGCACGCGTCGTGGTCGTATGGCAGCTTGGCCGGAGCAGTGGGGAAGTTCTTGGGGCAGTTGTCGTCCTGGAACACGCGCGTGTCATCGCACCAGACCTCGCACGGACCCTCGTGGGAAGCCGTGAAGCCCTCGCCGCTGCCGTGACTCCACTCGACGTACGTCTCGGGCACAGGCTGCGGGGTCTCGTCCGGGTTGGTGTAGCCGCATTCCTTAGTAAAGTCCTTGCTCACCAGCACCATCTTGTCAGTCATGAACTCCTTAAGCGACGAGTACTTGCTGGCCGCGAATCCCTTGTTGAAGTTGGCGGTGTTGTCCGTCGGGGATTGGCCGAAGTTGCCGCTGAAACCTGAGCTGCTAGCCTCGATGGTAGCCATGTATTGCGTGGTGTCACCGTTGAAAGTGAACTCCACCTTGGGCACCGACATGTAGCCGTGACCCTTAACGGTAGAGGCGAGCATGGCCGAAGCCGCGATAGCTGTGAACGAAGCTTTTCCGAGAACCATTTTTCGAGAACCTGTTTGCTGTCTGAATCTGTTCAGTCGGTTAACCGGAAGCGAGCAAAATGAAAAGTGAGAGATTTCTGATCAGTTTAAAGCTCTTGCTGTCCGTCCGTGCCAGTGTATTCAGCGGCGTAGGGCTTCCTTGCACATCCAGATTAAGAGAAGTGGAATCCAATAGTAAGCGTTAAGAACGAGTCACTCCTTACTCGCACACAATCAGCAAGGTCGTGTCAATCACGGGATCTGCTCTGGGTGTCACCTTTGCTGGACTCTTGTCTCGAATCCACATGGAATCGCTCCCTACGGATTTGAGGACTCTGTGCTCTCAGCACCTGCCATCAAACGCATGTCCAACAAATCATACATAAAACGGAATTAACGACACGTTGGCAAGCAGCATCTGATCGTATTACGAAAAGTTGATGAAACCTGGCGTGTCTAAACTCTGGTGGATTGAGAATTTGTACCTAATTGGCCGGTACAATCCTGCTTTCTCGGAGTCGAGGACTCGATAAAAACTACAAAACGTAGCAAACACGATTCACGTGACTAAAACGACGTTTTATTGAACAAAACAAAGCAGGAACAATTTGTTCGTACTCTATGTTGACAAGTTAATAGTGGAGGTGTATGTTACTCGTGTATGTATGGGCCGTATAATACGGCACGTGCACGCTGGCTAATTTCCGACGACGGCGCCGTAGTACATAGTGGTCGGAGCCGAAGTGTTAGAGTGCGCCACGGGATCCTCCAGTGATACCAGTACATGTACTGTACATTCAGCATTGCTTGTCGTTGGAGACGCGTTCTCTTAGCATAGCTTTTCGTGGTGGATGTCTCCGAGCTGACCCCACGCATACTGATATAGTATCAGTGGTTAGTACGTGGAATAAATCCTCGAAATCTGTACGTGTATTTCAGCGATTAACTGTTTGCGGATTGAGAGGTGAAAGGCAACTGCCATAGATTGACCACCACAACTCTAGTGCATCCATTGCACAGCCACGCGCGAACAGCAAAACTGTCTATGCGTGACTGCTTTGACTACAGTAGTGTGCCTTCGTGCCTCTGCAGAGGCTGATGACCATAGTGGTGGCATTCGGACAGAGCATTTTCACGAGTTGGTGCTTTTATAATCTACAAAATGTTTTTTCGGTGCAAATTGATATTTACAGTCGTATTCGCCATGTGGACGGTAATGTAAAGATAGGTCCAGCGTGGTGATGAGTTGATGCTGCACAGCTGGAGACCAAGAACTTAGCGTTGATGCCAGATAAGAGCGCATGGATTCAGAGCCTGATAGATGTTTTGGTAGCAGACCAGATGAAACCGAGCATTTTGATTCGATACAGATTAACCTCCCTTGGTTAATACTGCCCGTAGAATATCTTTTGAAAAGTTAAAGCAAGTTGATCATCTTAAGGCGGTTACTGTGAGCTCATTTGTTTGTTTTGTCTATCATCACATTGTATCAAGGTTCAAGTTAGACAGTATTATCAAAGGACTTTACAAAAAACACGCAAATCCTAATAAGTGGGACGGCATCATCTTATACAGGTTCTGTTGGGAGAGAGATAAAGGTTTACAGGGATTCAATTATCATAAACTTGTTTACGAGCGCCCATCGTGTTAGTAAACCGTGGAAAATACAAGTGCATGAAACACTGTCTCTACACGACAGAGGGATCTCGCCCAGAGAAGGTGGATGAGAGATCGCCGGCTGGTCTTGCGTGGCAGACCAACGCGATGTACCTCATGTGTCTTTGCATGCAATACATGTGGACATATTATACAAATGCATGTATACATCTTGATGCGTACAGGACCTGTACTACAGGTACCGCACGCCTTTTACCAGACGGAGTGGTCGTCGTTGTCAACAGAGCAACGAGTGGTTGCTCCGGCCAAAGAGGTACTATGTGATACCGTGTGCATTCTCGGAACAGGGCGTGGGTCTTTTGAGCGACTGAAACGAGCTAGCGAATCGACTGGAGGATGGCACGGATCGAGAGACAGAGCTTGGGATTTCTGATCTGGGGCGAGGTGACAGTGCATGTCCTCTTGAGCTGTGTGCCCTGTTTGCAGATGATAGGAAGCGCACTCGAAGCCTGCACTACGACTGAAGTCGTCGAAACCAGGTGGTGCTTGGGAACAAGATACCATCGCAAAAGTGCCCTACGTTTACAGGAACTATTCAAGTTCAACTGCTTGCATTCGACAATCAATCTGGGATCATGGCAGTTTGCCATGATCCCAGATTGATTGCCACTGGCAGCAGGATCCCTATCGTTGCCTTGAATGCACATGTACCAGGGCAGTGAGTGCTTGCCTAGTCAACCCGATTGTTTTCTGTGTTTTGACCTTTTGGTCGACGCTGTCTCGGAGTCCGATAGTGGCTCGCTATCGCTAACAAGTTTTCAGCGATACCAGTGCAAGGGCGACAGGACGACAGAACGCGAACTGTTCCAGGAAATGCTGTCAACCACCAAAAGAGCGTCTGTGCCCCCGTTGCAATGTACCGAATAAGTACCCTTGATGTCGAATTCGGAGGATTGATTAACTACCCAGCTGTTGGCCCTTACATGACGTCCTTGGCTTGCAAGCCAAGGTCATGCATCTAATGCATCTCCAACGTGGTGGAGTCAAGTCACCATCTGGATATTGCATGTGCACATTGGAGAGCAGTGCACTTTAAAGATGAAACAGTACCTTGATGAGGACGTGACCGCAAGAGGTCACGTCCTCATCAACACCATCAATGCTAACCTTCATCACCGATCGCTGGGCCGATGACACTGGACCGCGATCCACATTCTTCTTTTGTTGATTGTAACCGATTGGTATAGGGCCACGACCAATACGAGCCGGGAAGTGTAGTTATCTGGTCACTTCAGCATGGGCACCTCATCACCTATAAGGCGTGGTACCGGCTTGAACTTCTCTACTAGAGAATCGCTAGGGATATCTGTCATACTGAAGTATCCTCCTAATCACAGGCCTACGACTGAACCTGCTGTACTAATAGAAGGTGTAGAAGTACTTGCTGTTGATGCTGTTGATGCTGTTCTAGTTTGGAGTAGTTGTGAAAGGTGGCGTCGTTGTTTGTCCACTCAAATCACCGCCTCCAGGCACTAGAATTAGGAGATGAAGCTCCTGGAACAAGTCAAGGCGAGAGTTTTCATAAATAATGATGGTAAATCTTTTAACGTAAGTTCCACCCCGCCGGTAATCTATCCGTCATTTATTGGGATTTTATCTAGATTTTCTTTCGTAATCCAAATATATGGAATTGTTGGATTACCGAAATCTAGAAAAAAATAACTTTATAAATTTAAAAAAATGTTGGATTATGGAAATCTAGATAAAAACTACTTGTAAGTAAACTAACATGTCAGATTTTATCCAGGGCTTCGACTTGCATATCAAAAAACACATACTTATACATGACACAACGACTTAGTACATACAGATGGACAGATAATGTTTCGCGTCGTTCACGCTCTAGTTCTGCTTCTGCGGTTGAACCTTGCCGCTGATGTAATTACCACCGACGTTGTCAAAGTTCAGCGACGATTCCGAGACGGTGGTGGCCTCTTCCGCCTCACTACCGGCAGCATCGAGAGATCCACAGTCCTCGTCCTTAGTGCCAGCAACATCCAGTGAGCCGCAGTCTTCTTCAATCGTTTCTGCGTCACCACCGACCTCGCCGCCGTCACTGCCAGCCACATCAAGAGATCCACCATCCTCCTCGTCACTCCCAGCAACATCGAGAGAGTCGCAGTCTTCTTCTGCTTCATTGCCAACACTACCAGACGCTGTTGGGGCAGATGTAGTCGCCGTAGGAGTAGCAGTGCTAGTTGTTGGCGTCGCAGTGGTGACTGTCGGAGTGCTCGACTGCCCCGTCGATCCGCTGGTGGTGGTGTTTGACTCAGAAGGAGTGTTCGAGCCGCTACCACCTTCGAGCGCGGCACAGTTAACGTAGACTTGCCATGTAGACGAGTGCAGAGCAAGCCAGTAGAACGTCAACCGGTTCGCACCAGAGCATCCAGCCTTGTCGTAAGGCATTTTTGCCGGGGCGGTGGTGAAGTGTGCGGCACAGTTTGTGTCTTGGAACACTTGGGTGCCGTCACACCAGGCCTCGCACGGACCTTCATGGGAGGAAGTAAACCCTTCAGTGTCCGAGTGAGTCCATTCGATCTCGTCCGGAAGAGGCTGTGCTGTTTCGTCAGGATTGGTGAGGCCACACTGAAGATTGGCGCCAATGGCCACGACCTGGCCCAAATCCGTCACGAATTCCTTGATCGACGTGAATTTGCTCGACTTGAAGGCCGTCCAGAAGGCTTCTGTGTTTGCCGTGGGTGACCCGCTGAACGATCCTGACAATCCTGAAGCGCTGGCCTCGATCGTAGCGATGAATTGAGTCTTGTCAACGTCGTTCGGGAAGGCCACTGCAGGCTGGCCGAGATACCCGTGAGCATTCACACCGCTGAGAAATAGAGTAGCAGCTCCAACTAACGCGGTGCAGTGGATCTTAGTGTTCACCATGATTGGGATAAAATACTTTGACTTGTGAACTCGATGGAGCAAATTACGTTGTGAGAGTCGACCGGAGACTTTGACCAAGTCAACGCTTGAATGGCCCTAGGTGGCAACAAGCACTGCAACGGTCAAACATCAGGACGCACGATGGTGTTGTGTCAGTTTAGTCTTCCATACGCATGGCTCTTCATCAACAGCAGACGCCTCCGTTTTAGCGGCAGCAGGCCGACCGACCATTGAAATTGTTGGAACATTTCTGATTTGACTGGCAAGACGCTACGTCTATTCAAAATGAAACCTATTGTGTAACTTGACCGATCATACCGGATGGCTCTACCGCTGAAGGCGACTCCGGCTGCAAGTGAATACATTTTAATCGTACCATTCTTCATTTCCACTCAACTCGAGCTTCCATTCTGAACGGAATGTGCCGCATCGGTGGCTCGAAAACGGCAAGGCCACATAACCGCTTTTCCAAGGTGACTTGCCTCTTGACTTGAGCAAACGCACCGCTGACGGATACTCCAGGTGGATTTGAAGAAGGCGACGCGAGTTCCTTGGACAGTTTCGATGGGATTAAGCTTGCTCGGTCCGTAACGACTCCGTTCGGACAGAACACTGAGCGACGCTGTGTTCAGTTTCAGCTGCTCATTCACGCGCGGCACTGGTCAGTTCGAACACTATGATGTTCTAAAGCTATGGCTAGTGGCTTTAATGGCGGGAGTAGGAGTCTGGATACCCGACGTTATCAATGGTCCCCGGCACATCGCATGTACGGCTGGACTTGATCACCAAACCAAGTTGCAACCCAACCGTCGCACATTTCAACTCGCCTTCAGCATCGAACTAGAAGTGTTCGAGGCGTTAGCTATGAAGATTCCATCCTGCTCATCTTTCCTAACAACCATCGGAGCCTTGCTGCTCCTAGCTGCGCCGACCACGGTCACCGCGCACGGACAAATGACCAAACCCACACCGCGACCCATCTCTCAAAAGTACCGAGCCGACTCCGGAGCACTCAGCAGTGCCGGAGACCAAGAGCTCCAGTACGCACCGGTCGAGCTTCTCAGCAGCAGAGCACAGTCGGACCGACCGGCAGCGGCCACGTTCAACATCATGAACGGATGTAGAGGAACCGTCTACGAGGCCAGCAATACCGTCACCGAACTCGAAGCTGGCACACCCTTCGACGTTGAATGGGTCATCCAGGCACCGCACCCTGGTACCATGGTGCTCAGCATCGTCAAACCGTCCACCGACATTAGCGGCACCATCACGTACGAGTCTGTGGCCGAGCTGCTAACTATCGACCCGTTCGCTGTGAACTCGAATGACAAGACTAGCACGACGACCAGGATCCCAACAAGCGTGACGGGATGCGGGTCGCCGGGAGACTGCGCACTGCAGTTTTACTGGCATTCGGACCTGGCGAGTCAGACGTACCCGACATGCGCCGAAATTGTGGTGACTGGAAGCGGCGGTGCGAACGGACTAACTACAACGGCGCCAAGTACCGCGACACCGCCGCCAATGGCAACTACAGCTTCTCCAACGACTATAACAAGTACTTCATCACCTTCTACTGCCGCTCCAACAGCAACTCCACTTGTGAGCAATACTGCATCGGAAGAGGCTTCAGCGCCTTCCACAACTCCGGAGAAATGCATACGCCGCCAGCGACGCCTTCGGAAGCTGCTTGGTTGAGTAGTAGGTGCTACTAGGAGCTGATTGTTTTTCTGTTTACTATGTTCGAGTAATATGCACATGTTGAAGCGATAGATGGCTACACTTTACGATCTGATTAGTCGATATAAATTTGCTGTATGCAGACCACACTCATCCACTTAAATGGATCACCGATAAGCGCCTCGGTTTCTCAGTGTTGTAGTAGGAACCCCGTACAAATTCATGACACAGCATCGTTCGTTTGGCGGCACTTGATAAGTCAATTGATGATGCAATCGCACGCAGCAATTACGATTTGAATCCGGCTGATGGCTTCGATGCTCGTTTGAGAGTGCCATCACACATGTACATGTACAACTTGCTCTCTACTCGCGTCTCGACGGTGGTGTCCGTGTCAACGGGATGTCAGGCAGAGAAACGTTGCTGGTCTGCAGCTGGGATAGCAAAGGCAAACGAAGTCCCACGAAGCACTGACAGCACAACAAGTCTGCTACAACTGAAGTGTGCGAGACTCTAGTTGCTTGCAACCTTCAGCGCGACTCGCTGCATGAGAGACAACAACAACCTCTCTCTATTTGTGCGGCTTTATCCTTGGATCCTCACAGCGACGTGCTGTGCCGGGCGTTTTCAACTTCCGATAGAATGAGGCTGACTTACTAAACTTCATATAATCTGAACTCTCATTTGATACCATCTGCTCAAACAGAAGCTAACTCTGCACGTCAAAGTGATCATACCGGTCATGCGGTCTGCTGGTCGCTTTTGCTTTTTACTGCTATCGTGGTCGCTAACCACCCTCCATTTTGGAATTTCCTCGCCACGATAAACATGAAGCCTGCCGTCTTCTGCACATTGGCCGGTACGGCCTTGATGCTGGCCGACACTGTCGATGCCCACGGTCAAATGCTAGTGCCGTCCTACCGCCCGATCACGACCAAATATCGGGAGGACTGCCTGTACGGTCTTAAGGGTGCCGGCGACGATGAGCTTCAATGGGCCCCCATCGAAAACCTGAGCCAACGCGGTCAGGCTGACCAACCGGCGGCCGCCACCTTCAACATGTACAACGGCTGCAGAGGCTTAGTGTACGAGTCCGAGAACAACGTGACGGAGATCGAAGCCGGCAAGGAGTTTGACGTTAAGTACTATATTCAGGCGCCGCACCCGGGATACATGGAGCTGAGTATCGTCAAGCCCAGTACCGACGCGAACGGCAAGATCACGTACAACCGCGACACGCAGATCGAGTACTTCAGCGACTTCGCCAACTCCGCCGGTACCTTCACGGTCACGGCCACCATCCCCACAAATGTGACGGGCTGCGAGAACGCCGGAGACTGTGCACTGCAGTTCTATTGGCACTCGGACATCGCCAACCAGACGTACCCGACGTGCGCTGACATCACAATCCCAGGCAGCGGCGCCGGTAGCTCCTCCACGACGTCCACCTCGACGTCGACCACCACCACGTCGTCTTCGTCGTCGGCTTCGAACGCTCCCACCGCCTCTACTTCTACTTCTACCCCTACTACTACTACCTCTTCTCCTTCCACCGCAACTACGGATGGCTCTAAGATCGCTGGTGAGGCCAGCTACACTGCTGACAGCACCGATGCTTCTGCAACGACGGATGCCTCGACTGCTACGGATGCAAGCGGCGACACTGCTGCATCAACGATGGACGCTTCGAGTGAAGCCACCGCGCCTACGTCTACCGACGCCCCGGAGGTTACCACGGCGCCTAGCACCACGTCTGCTTCGGACAAGTGCTCGGTTCGTCGTCGTCGTCAGTAGTATATCCGAGAAACAATGGGCGAGAGATAGTTTGTGTGCGCTAGTGTTTGCTGTGTCATAAGTGAGAAAACAGTTGACAGCTTTTCGAGAATACATATCGTGTTCAATCCGTCCCCCTCCCCGTTTCCTCACGCGCGTTTGAAATGCGTCTGTAAGAGGTGAAAACAGCGGCTGTGCTTTCCTCATCCTTTTATCTCCGTTTCACTAGTTTCTTCCGGTCATGAATATCCTCACGCCAGCTAACCCCCCTGTCAGATCCTTTGCATGCAAAAGCGTAGCGATATCTCACTGCATCTTCGGCTGATAGATGTAGTGATCTTCCAACCAGGCTCCCTCTTTTCGAACTAGTCGCTTCAACAAACGTACTCAATAGACATCCCCGAATCCACTGATCCCGCTAGAATCCGAGGCATCTAACTCACCTTTTTTTTTGGCGACGGCGTGGACTTTCGTTCTCTAGTCTCATTTTCCAATTCACCGGCAAGACGAAATCCGAAACCAAGTCTGCCATGATTCTAATCACGTCGGTGCTAGCGGCAGCGGCTACGATGCTTTTCTCTACGGCAAACGGCCACGGCTACCTGACCGATCCGGCCGTGACCTTCCTATCGTCGTCCACAGACAACACGCAGTTCATCGCCACCATCGAATCGTCAGCGTCGGGATTCAGCGGCACTTTCTCAGGCTCACCCGCAGACAACACGGCCGCCTTTACGACTGCCTTCGAAGTCAGCTCGTACACGTCGTTGAAAGAGCTGATCAACGCATTGGCCACGATTACCGTCACGGACGCTACCTTGACGTGCGGGTCGTGTGACCCCGATGAGACGGCGCAACCGCTACCGGAGACTTACGTGGAGTGGTCGCACTCGTCCTCTGAAGGCTTTACTTCTTCTCACGAAGGTCCATGTGAGGTTTGGTGTGACGACGTTCGCGCATTCCAAGACGATGACTGTGCCGCCCATTACACCTCCACCCCCGCTGAGCTGCCGTACGACCGTGATGCCTGTCTGGGCACCAGTACGCTGACATTCTACTGGTTGGCTCTCCATTCGTCCACCTGGCAAGTGTACATCAACTGCGCGCCGCTCGAGAGTACAACCTCGACAGGTGCGACGTCCAAGTACGCCGTGTCAAGCTCGAGCACGGGAACAACTAGCACCGCGACTTCAAATAGTACGAGTTCGACTTCCTCGACGCCAAGTACGACGGCTGATGTGTCTACAACCAGCTCCGCCTCGACGGCCACAACGTCGACGCCAGCTTCCGCTCCAACGCCGACAGACGCTACCACTTCGACCGCAACGACATCTCCGTCAACCTCGACTACCTCGACTACAAGCTCAACTACAACCACTGCGCCATCTGCTAGCTCAACGCCGACGACTGGCAGTTCCAGCACGTCAAACCAGTGGACGGGTTCCACTACCAACGGAGGCTGGTCGACGACATCGACAACCAGCTCCAAGACTGGCACGTCGGAGGGTCAATGGCCTACCACTGGTAACAGCGACGCCCAAACAACGACCGGCACGGTCTCACCGAACCAAGGCGCGACTAGTGGCGGCTGGCGCAACAACGCCGGTTGGGGCACCAGCTTCGGCTTCCGTCGCTGAGCTGCCGTCACGTTCGGACAGATATCCTGTCCAGTTATTCGTCATGTTTTTGTAGTAAAATGCTGCGTTTCACGTACACGTAGGCACCTCCTACACCTGGACTATCTACATGTAGGAGGCGTATACATCATCGTAGCGTCACAAGATAATGTCTTAAGCTTTCGTTTCGGTGGAGTTGTTTTTACCGTCATTAAAAAAAATCGCGTAAGTTCCGTCAGATCCGCTATTTTCATGCATCTTCCTGTAGTTCCTATGATTTGCTACAGCTGGTGTCACGGAGCGAGCTATGCCTTTCAAATGTAAAGGCAAACGTGGTGCTGTAAAGGTAGACACCCGACAAAGATCGTCGATAAGCGAGAGTGTTGAAGCCAACCTGATCATCTGATCTGGAGCTCGTTCACGTACGTGATCGACGGTCTCCGACGAAACCAGACGTTGGCATTGATTAATTGGCTCTGGTCTGCTCAAGGCGAAGGAGAAAAAATGAAGCTGTCGTCCACTGTTTCGACCACGCTTTTGGTGTTCGCAGCGTTTGGGTCTCAGCTAGTGTCTGGCCACGGATATCTGGTGCAACCGCTAGCCAAGTTCATCAGCGTTAACATTGATAAGACGCAGTACTCGTCGACCATTGACAGCTACAAACTGTTCCCCGGTGGGACGTTCAATACAGACCCGACAATCAACATCAAGTCCTTCGTGGAACATTTCGAGAAGTCCAAGTACAAGAGCATCAGGACAATGATCGAGGATAAGCAGGTGCTCGTGTCGGACGACGCCACGGCCACCTGCGGGTTCTCGTCGCCGGAAAAGACCAGCTATGGCGCGCTCAATGATACTGTATACTGGGGCAGGAACGATGACATTACGCAGGACGAGGGTCTCGTGCACCCGGGCCCGTGCGAAGTCTGGTGCGACGACAACCGCGCCCAGCAAGATATGAACTGTATGAAGACGTACACTCCTGCCTCTGGCAAAGGCGCAGCTCCTATCCCGATCGACAAGTCGGTGTGTACGGACGCCAAACGTCTGACCTTCTTCTGGATCGGCATGCACGGCGCAACGTGGCAGGTTTACAGTAAGTTGTGCCGCGATCACGTTGTCCGATGTGATGCATGTAGCTGAAACTAACTTGCGTTTGTCCCATGTCCTTGTAGTTAACTGCGTCAACATCAACGGTGGGACTGGAGGCGCGGACTCGAGCCCGACGACGTCACAAACAACTTCCGACACGACTTCTCCATCTTCGAACGCAGCGCCAACGGCATCAAGCAACGAGCAGGAGTCCACTGACGATACCCCTGAAGTTGAGGCCACACCCGCTCCTGCTAGAACTCCTTCTCCTGTCGTGACTCCGAGTACAGAGGAAGTTGAAGTTACACCCGCTCCAGCCAAAACCCCGACTCCAGCCGCGACTCCAAGTGTAGCTGAGGGCAGCACTGCCGGCGAAGCCTCAATAACGGGAGCGAAGTGCTCTCGCCGTCGCATCCGCGGCTAGACGCTTGTCCAGGAAGGAACGCGGGACATTGTTTTCGACAAGAACGTTGCAAGTGTGTGTTGCTTTGCTTGAAGCTTCATGTAGTGCTGTCTCTGGTAATTCCGTGAATGTTGACTGTTCGTACCAAGTACTCGGAGTGTCTATGAAATTGGTCGGTCATATACATGTACAGCCCTCGAAGTATCTAGGTACTGTTTTGCCTTAGCAACACACAATGGAGGGTGTATATTTTGCATTTTGATATTAACGCATTACCGTTTATGGCACTGAATATGCGCAACTCTACAGTAGCAACCATCTTTCTTCGGTAGAAGCAGATCAGAGTACAAACTGCACATGCAAAGCTCTTTTGCAAACATTGAAGACGAATGTTACGCGATTCGCCATCGCTGACGACATCCACGTTGATATGGTTGACATAATGTATTAATAACAACCAACCAGACAAGAAGGACAAACAGGTCAGCTCAAACTTAGAAAGCACCAAAGCATTGTCCCCTCCACTCCACTTGCACTGCGACAGAATCCTTGAGATATCGAATGGGAGAAACATTCAAGTCGCTACGTCTTGAATACGTGTAGCGTTCTTTTGGCCAAGGGGGGG